TGTCCAACTTTTGGCTATTGTGACAAGTGCTGCAGTGAACATTGGTGTACATGTGTGTATGCTTTTCAGTCTCTTTGGTGTATACTGAGAAGTGGAATAGTGGGGTCCTATCCCAGCATTGATGGTGTGGTGGGTTATGCGTTGGGTTTAAAACTATCAGCTGCTCCTCAAGAGAAAGATGAAGCTTTCTGCTCCCGTAAACAATAAAAGCCTTGGAAACCCACCATAGCAGTTTTACCCTGCTTTATGTGGTCGCTATGAGTAAGAATCCACTCAAATTTTGGTATGCCAGTTCTGCATTCAACTTTTCAAGGAATACCCAAACTATTATCCAGTGTGGTTGTTACCATTTTACATTCCCACCAAAAGGATGAAGCTTCAATTTTCTTCACAGCCTTGCTAATACCTGTTATTTTCCATTTGATCATTACCATGCTGGTGGGGATGCTCATTGTGGTTTTGATATGTATCTCCCTAGTGACCAGTGATACAAACCCTAGTGGCATGGTGGTTACTCATTGAGCTGCTAACTGCAAGATAAGCAGTTCAAAACCACCAGCTGCTCAGGAGACAGGTAGGGCTTTCTACTCCTATAAAGAAGTACAATCTTAGAAACTCACAGGAGCAGTTCTGTCCTGCCCTGTAGAGTCTCTGAGTCTACCTTGACACGCTGGCAGTGAGGAAGTGACTAGTGTTATTTAACATCTTCTCGTGTGCTTGTTGGTCATTTGGATACCCTCTTTGGTAAACCGGCTACTCAAGTCTTTTGCCTTTTTTTTTTTTTTTTTTGCATTGTCTTTTTACGTTTGTCTATGATTCATCTTTATATTCCTACTGTCTGAGAAGCCCAGTGTTTTAAAGATGAAGAACATATTCTCCATTGCTTCTTAACTACTGCAGTGCTTGCTGCTTTTTCCTATTATAGCGAAAGCCCTGAGCAAGTCATTTTCTCCACTTCTTAACTGACCATACCTTCTTCGGTCTCTCTTTTCTTTCTGCCCTAACTCTCCCCTCCATCACAAAATTTAGATTTACTGATTTATGGTGGTGGTTCTACTTTTTACCTATATTAGATACTTTTTAATCACTCACTTTGCTTTTACTGCCTAAACCTTTACCCAGGCCTCTTGACTCCTATTTAGAAAGTTTCTTTGAAATACAACGGTTGTCTACTACACCAAGTCTCATGGAGAGCAATTTCTATTTTTCACCTTCCCCTCTCAACCTCTGGGCCAGTTGCTTTTGACATCATACCCCTCACATCTTGCTATTTTACTTTTATGTCAGGATACTTCAAATGTGCCATCTTTACCTCAGTCACAGTATAATTTCAATTGGGCTCTTTTCCCCCTCACATCTTATTAAAAACTCCCTTCTCGATTATTTCTGATTGAATCATTACTAAAATAGTGTACGGCTTAATTCTGGCTTGTTTCACTCCTTTAACTTCCTGATTAAAAGAGTGCAGGCATTAGCTATTTATTAGGACGTCTGCCATTGCCATTCCAGGCCTTGCTTCCCACTCTCCCCTCGTGGATGGTGGTCCTTTCCGTGTGTCTGTGCAGCAGCTCTCCTACTCCGGCACCTTTCCTCAGTCTCTGCTCTCTCGTCCCTCTTCTCTGATTGTCCAGGCCGTGTACCTTCACAGAGCTGGTCTAGTCCGTGAAAAACAAATGTTTTAAATTAAATTCAAGCTGTAATAACCTTTCCATTTTAACATTGGTTTCATCTCTCTATTTGTTTGTTTTCCTCCTGAATAAATTGTTGTCGCTTTTCAAGCAGGTAACAGTGTGTTATGTTTATATCCTCTGGATGCCCCTAATGATGGTAGGTGTGACAGATTTCTAATGACTATTTGTTTCTTGATGCCTGACATTAGGGTCATGACAAGTTTTGACCAAAAATCGGTATGAGAGTCTTCTTTGGCAATGACAGTTTGCCAAGAAGATGTATATTAGGGAGTTCTGTTTATCTGTAGTCACTTTATTTATTTGGTATATTTGTTAGTAAAATTTTCTAATATACGTTCTTCATTTATTTGTTTTTGCTTATTTTTAATAAGATATGTTTCTTTTGCTTCAACCCCATCCGTGTTTTTTATACAAACAAAATATGGTGCATATTCTGCAACTTGCTCTTTTCGTTTAACAATTTCTTAGTATTCTTTCCATAGTGACATGTAGAAGCTTTCTCTGTTTTATCTGCTCCTGAAAGAGCTCAGGTGGCACTGTGGGTTAGGCACTGAGCTGCTAACAGCAAGGTCAGCCATTCAAATTCGCTAGCCACTCCTTGGAGAAAGATGAGGCTGCCTGCTCCTGTCATGATTTACCGTCTCAAAAACCCAGCGGGCTCCTTCTCCTCTTCTTTGTGCTACTCTGTGGCACTGGGTTTGGTTTAAGATACTGAAAATGTTAGCTTTTCATAATGCTTATAACCTCTTCATACTTTGATATAAGCACTTTTAAGATTTGTGTATGCCATCTTAGAATGAACCCTTGTAATGAAGTTCATAAATTTAATTAGTTTAATATTGTGTTTTACTTGTTTATTACCACTACCTTAAATTACCCATTGGTATTTTGGGGCGGGGGGGTGGGGGGGGATTTTTAATGGAGAACTCCTAGTATTTTATCCATGGGTGGACAGCAGGAAAGGTAGTATCAGTTGTATTCAATAGAAGTAAATATCTAATTTGTGAAAGACAACTCTAATTAAATGATTTTGTTTGTTTCTTCATAGGAATCGACCCTCAAAAGCGTATTGAGTGCCTTATGGAACTTGTCGGCACATTGCACTGAGAATAAAGCTGATATATGTGCTGTTGCTGGTGCACTCGCATTTTTGGTTGGCACTCTCACTTACCGGAGCCAAACAAACACGTTAGCCATTATTGAAAGTGGAGGTGGAATACTGCGCAACGTGTCCAGCTTGATAGCCACAAATGAGGACCACAGGTAACTACGGTTTTATTTATTTTTAAAATAAGAGCAGAATTTACACCTTAAAGAGCTAACTGTAAGCAGCGTTTTGTGTAATTATGCAAATTCTGAACTAAAATATACTTAGTATGGTGAAAAGATAGCAATTCCAAACATAACTCAATAATGTATATTTTCTAACAAGTAAGAGCTCACAGGCTCACAAAGTAATCAACTAGTTGAAAGGTAGAGCCCCTGCATGGAAGAAAACATAAAAGTCATACATGCTTGCTAGGACAAAAATCCTTCCATTTGTCATAGTAGCACTTAGGCAGAGGCCACTCGTCTCGTCTCCTGGAGCTGTGAAGGCAGAGTGAGCAGCTCAGCTCCGGGGCACATATTTCAGAATGGGGGCTTTATAGTGTCTTGGTAAAATATTTGCTTTTAACTTGTTTAGTATTGATCTCTCATTTTCAAAAAGACTACCAGGTGATTTCAGTAAAAGATCCTGTTAGGAGTGTAAGTGTCTTTTAAGTTTTTGCTGCACAAAACCACCTCATCACCTTCAAAGTACTGTCTATTACACTTAATACATTTATCAAATCTGCGATTCCATTCTTGGAAACACTTTTTCAAACTCATCTGTTTGGATGGCTGACAGCACCTCCCTTGTTTTGTGTGTGTGTGTGTGTGGTTTTTTTCTTCACCTCTTCTAAGTCGTCAAATCACTATTCTTTCATGTCCCTCGCATTCCCTGAAAGCAAAAAGTCTGAAGGAGCCAGGTCAGGTAAGTAAGGAGTATGAGGCAAGAGAGGCAAGCTGGTTTGTTTGTTTGCCAAAAACTGGAACACTGAAATGGCTGTGTTAGCAGGTGCAGTATCGTGGTGGCTAAAGCACTCCCCCCATCTGCCACAAATCAGGCCTTTTTTGTCACACAGTTACACGATCTTTTCAGAACCTCTAAATAAAAAGTTTGATCAACAGTCTGACCTAGTGGAATGAACACCAAATGCATTATGAGTCGACATTTCCGTCCATTCAGGAATTTGACGGATATCCAGAACGAGGTTTGTCATCTACGGACATGTCACCTTTTTTGAAACAAGAAAACCACTCGTACACTTGGAGTTTTTCCCATAGTGCTGTCCATGTAAGCTGTGTTCAACATCACAACAGTTTCTGAGACATTTTTCCAGAGCAGGAAACAAATTTCACAACCACACACTGTTCTCTTAAATCAGCCATCACAAGAAATGAGGTTTGAGCGAAACCGCTTTTATGAAAAAATTCACTGTGACCAGAGAGAACCTTCCCAGGCAACACCAGTGGGTACACTAACTCAGAGCAAGTTGCTTGAGGCTCACATAGCAGAGCTTTTTCCATTTTATGGGGGTTAACCCTTGTACAAAGAAGGCTCCTTAACTCGGGAAGTACTCTGTTAATTACTCGGTTGCTGAGAGAAACCATCATGTTAAAGCCTTTCATGCAACCTGACCAGCCCTGGGTGGTACTGTGGGTTAGACACTGGGCTACTAATCACAAGCTCTTCAGTGTAAACGTACCAGCTGCTCTGAAGAAAAAAGATAAGGCTGTCTGCTCCCATAAAGAGTTTACAGTCTCAGAACCCTATGTACGATCATTCTGAGTCCAAATTAACTTGATACAGTGGAGTTGGTTGGTTGGTTGGTTATAGCTGAGTACACTATCATTAGACTTCAGTTTGGCATGCATGCAGCAAACTAGGATTCTCGCAGGTTTCAGTGTGCGGATTCTCAACCCTCACAGTTTTACCTCTACATATTTTGAAAAACTTTAATGCACTTTCTTTTTCAAAATAATCAATTTGCTGGAGAACACTTATAAGGGATAGCAGTAACCCAGAATTCTGCCAGAGATGTAGCGATTGCTTTAAACAGTTTATTGACCTAGGAGTTTTTGGTAGAATTATACCTAATTATACCTATTAATAAGTTTTAAGGAGCCCTGCTCTAAGGTAAAATGAAGCTTTCTTATCCCATAAAGAATTACAACCTCCCAAACTTAGGAGCACATCTATTTGACCTAAATGATTGCTATGAATCAGAATCGACTCAGTGCCAGCAGTAAGTGTGGTTTTTCAGTTTGGTGACATAGGTTAAATGTTGGGCTTCTAACTGCAAAGACACGGGTTCAAACCCTCCAGCTGTTTCATGGGAGCAAAAGGAGGCTTTCTGCTCCCATAAAGATTTATAGTCTTGGAAGTCCTACAGACCAGATCTTTCTTATAGGGTCGCTATGAGTTGAATTAACTTGACTGTGGGTTATTAATAAGTTTTAGTAATTATCTGTAGACCTAAATTTTATTCCTGTCATTTTGCTTGTTATGAACATACTCAGAATTCAATCTTAATTTAGTCGTGTCTTATTTTTATTTCAGGCAAATCCTAAGAGAAAACAACTGCCTACAAACGTTATTACAACACTTGAAATCTCACAGTTTGACAATAGTCAGTAATGCATGTGGAACGTTGTGGAATCTCTCCGCAAGAAATCCTAAAGACCAGGAAGCATTATGGGACATGGGAGCAGTTAGCATGCTCAAGAACCTCATTCATTCAAAGCACAAAATGATTGCTATGGGGAGTGCTGCAGCGTTAAGGAATCTCATGGCAAATAGACCTGCAAAGTATAAGGATGCCAATATTATGTCTCCTGGTTCAAGCTTGCCATCTCTTCATGTAAGGAAACAAAAAGCCCTCGAAGCAGAATTAGATGCTCAGCATTTATCAGAAACTTTTGATAACATTGACAATTTAAGTCCTAAGGCATCTCATCGTAGTAAGCAGAGACACAAGCAAAATCTCTATGGTGATTATGTTTTTGACACCAATCGGCATGATGATAATAAGTCAGACAATTTTAATGCTGGGAATATGACTGTCCTTTCACCATATTTAAATGCTACAGTGTTGCCTAGCTCCTCTTCATCAAGAGGAAGCTTAGATAGTTCTCGTTCTGAAAAAGATAGAAGCTTGGAGAGAGAGCGAGGTCTTGGCCTTGGCAGCTATCATCCAACAACCGAAAACCCAGGAACCTCTTCAAAGCGTGGTTTACAGGTTTCCACTACTGCAGCTCAGATTGCTAAAGTCATGGAGGAAGTGTCGGCCATTCATACCCCCCAGGAAGACAGAAGTTCTGGCTCTACCACCGAGTTACATTGTGTAACAGATGAAAGGAACCCACAGAGAAGAAGCTCTACTGCCCATGCACATTCAAACAGTTGCAACTTTAATAAGTCAGAAAATTCACATCGGACATGTCCTATACCTTATGGCAAATTGGAATACAAGAGATCTTCAAATGATAGTTTAAATAGTGTCAGTAGTAGTGATGGCTATGGTAAAAGAGGCCAAATGAAACCTTCCATTGAATCCTATTCTGAAGATGATGAAAGCAAATTTTGCAGTTATGGTCAATATCCAGCTGACCTAGCCCATAAAATACATAGTGCAAATCATATGGACGATAATGATGAAGAACTAGATACACCAATAAATTATAGTCTTAAATATTCAGATGAGCAGTTGAACTCTGGAAGGCAAAGCCCTTCACAGAATGAAAGATGGGCAAGAACCAAACACGTAATAGAAGATGAAATAAAACAAAGTGAGCAAAGACAATCCAGGAGTCAAAGCACAACGTTTCCTGTGTATAATGAGAGCTCTGATGAGAAACACCTCAAGTTTCAGCCGCATTTCGGACAGCAAGAATGCGTTTCCCCATTTAGGTCAAGGGGAGCCACTGCTTCAGAAACTAATCGAGTGGGTTCTAATCACGGAACTAATCAAAACGTAAACCAACCTTTGTGTCAAGAAGATGATTATGAAGATGATAAGCCAACTAACTACAGTAAACGTTACTCTGAGGAAGAGCAGCATGAAGAAGAAGAGAGACCCACAAACTATAGCATAAAATACAATGAAGAAAAACATCATGTGGATCAGCCTATTGACTATAGTTTAAAGTATGCCACAGATCTCCCATCTTCCCAGAAACCATCATTTTCTTTCTCCAAGAGTTCCTCTGGACAAAGCACTAAAACTGAACAGCACATCCCTTCAAACAGCGAAACCGCTTCTACACCTTCAACTAATGCCAAGAGACAGAATCAGCTTCATCCAAGTTCAGCACAAAGTAGAAGTGGTCAGACCCAAAAAGCTGCCTCCTGCAAAGTTTCCTCCATCAACCAAGAAACAATACAGACTTACTGTGTGGAAGATACCCCCATATGTTTTTCAAGGTGTAGTTCATTATCATCTTTGTCTTCAGCTGAGGATGAAATAGGATGTGACGGGACAACACAGGAAACAGACTCTGTTAACACTCTGCAAATAGCAGAACGAAAAGAAAATAGTGCAACTAGATCAACTGAGGATGCTGTGAGTGAAGTTCCAACAGTGTCTCAGCACATAAGAACCAAATCCAGCAGACTCCAGGCTTCTGGTTTGTCTTCATCGGAATCAACGAGGCACAAGGCTGTCGAATTTTCTTCAGGAGCCAAATCTCCATCCAAGAGTGGTGCTCAGACACCTAAAAGTCCACCAGAGCACTATGTTCAGGAGACTCCACTCATGTTTAGCAGATGTACTTCTGTCAGTTCACTCGACAGTTTTGAGAGTCGTTCAATTGCTAGCTCTGTTCAGAGTGAACCCTGCAGTGGAATGATCAGTGGTATTATAAGCCCCAGTGACCTTCCAGATAGCCCTGGGCAAACCATGCCACCAAGCAGAAGTAAAACCCCTCCTCCACCACCTCCTCCTCCTCAGACAGTGCAGAGTAAGCGAGAGGCACCGAAAAATAAAACGCCTAATGCTGAAAAGAAAGAGAGTGGACCTAAGCAAGCCGCCGTAAACGCTGCAGTTCAGAGGGTCCAGGTTCTCCCGGATGCTGACACGTTATTACATTTTGCCACAGAAAGTACTCCAGATGGATTCTCTTGTTCATCAAGTCTGAGTGCTCTGAGCCTCGATGAGCCATTTATCCAGAAAGATGTGGAATTAAGAATAATGCCTCCAGTTCAGGAAAATGACAATGGGAATGAAACAGAACCTGAGCAGCCTGAAGAATCAAATGAAAACCAAGAAAAAGAGGCAGAAAAACCTACTGACTCTGAAAAGGATCTATTAGATGATTCAGATGATGATGATATTGAAATATTAGAAGAATGTATTATTTCTGCCATGCCAACAAAATCATCACACAAAGCTAAAAAATCAGAGCAGACTGCTTCAAAAGTACCACCGCCCGTAGCAAGAAAACCAAGTCAGCTGCCTGTGTACAAACTTCTACCAACTCAAAGCAGGTTACAAGCCCCAAAGCAAGCAATGCCGAGGGCGTTCTGCATAGAAGGGACTCCCATAAACTTTTCCACTGCTACATCTCTAACCGATCTAACAGTAGATTCTCCTCCAAATGAATTGGCTGCTGGGGAAGGGGTTAGAGTAGGGACACAGATGGGAGAGTTTGAAAAACGAGACACCATTCCTACAGAAGGCAGAAGTACAGATGAGGCTCAAAGAGGAAAAACTCCATCTCTAATACCTGAATTGGATGACAGTAAGACAGAAGAAGTTGATATTCTTGCAGAATGCATTAATTCTGCTATGCCCAAAGGAAAAAGTCATAAGCCTTTCCGTGTGAAAAAGATAATGGACCAGGTCCAACAAGCATCTGCATCTTCATCTGGAACCAACAAAAATCAATTAGATGGCAAGAAAAAGAAACCTACGTCACCAGTAAAACCTATCCCACAAAATACTGAATACAGGACACATGTAAGAAAAAGTACAGATACGAAAAGTAATACAAATAGTGAAAGAACTTTCTCAGACAACAAAGATTCAAAGAAACAGAACTTGAAAAATAATTCCAAGGAGTTCAATGATAAGCTGCCAAATAATGAAGATCGGGTCAGAGGAAGTTTTACTTTTGATTCACCTCATCATTACACACCTATTGAAGGAACCCCGTACTGCTTTTCACGAAATGATTCTTTAAGTTCTCTAGATTTTGATGATGATGACGTTGACCTTTCTAGGGAAAAGGCTGAGTTAAGAAAGGGGAAAGAAAATAAGGAATCAGAAGCAAAAGTTACTAGCCAAACAGAACTAGCGTCAAACCAGCAATCAGCTAATAAGACACTGGCTGTTTCGAAACAGCCAATAAATCGAGGTCAGTCTAAGCCCATACTGCACAAGCAATCCACTTTTCCCCAGTCATCCAAAGATATACCAGACAGGGGGGCAGCCACCGATGAGAAATTACAGAATTTTGCAATTGAAAATACTCCAGTTTGCTTTTCTCGTAATTCTTCTCTCAGTTCTCTCAGTGACATTGACCAAGAAAACAACAACAGCAAAGAAAGTGCACCTATCAAAGAGACTGAGCCCCATGACTCACAGGGAGAACCTAGTAAACCTCAGGCATCAGGCTATGCCCCTAAATCATTTCATGTTGAAGACACCCCTGTGTGTTTCTCAAGAAACAGTTCTCTCAGTTCTCTTAGTATTGATTCTGAAGATGACCTTCTACAGGAATGTATAAGTTCGGCGATGCCAAAAAAGAAAAAGCCTTCAAGACTCAAAGGAGATAATGAAAAGCATAGCGCCAGAAACATGGGAGGTATATTAGCAGAAGATTTGACACTTGATTTGAAAGATGTTCAGAGACCAGATTCAGAACACGGTTTATCTCCTGACTCAGAAAATTTCGATTGGAAAGCTATTCAGGAAGGTGCCAATTCCATTGTGAGTAGTTTACATCAAGCTGCCGCTGCTGCTTGTTTATCTCGGCAAGCTTCATCTGATTCAGATTCTATCCTTTCACTGAAATCAGGAATATCTCTGGGGTCACCATTTCATCTTACACCTGATCAAGAGGACAAACCCTTTGCAAGTAATAAAGGCCCACGGATTCTAAAGCCTGGGGAGAAAAGCACATTGGAAACTAAAAAAATAGAATCTGAAAATAAAGGAATCAAAGGAGGGAAAAAAGTTTATAAAAGTTTAATTACTGGGAAAATTCGATCTAATTCAGAAGTTTTAAGCCAAATAAAACAACCCCTTCAAACAAACATGCCTTCAATTTCTCGAGGTAGAACAATGATTCATATTCCAGGAGTTCGAAATAGTTCTTCAAGTACAAGTCCTGTTTCTAAAAAAGGCCCACCCCTTAAGACTCCGGCCTCCAAAAGTCCCAATGAAAGTCAGTCAGTCACCACCTCTCCTAGAGGAGCCAAGCCACCAGTAAAGTCAGAATTAAGCCCTGTTACCAGGCAGACATCCCATGCAGGTGGGTCAAATAAAGGACCTTCTAGATCAGGATCTAGAGATTCCACTCCGTCAAGACCCACCCAGCAACCATTAAGTAGACCTATGCAGTCTCCGGGTCGCAATTCAATTTCTCCTGGGAGAAATGGAATAAGTCCTCCTAATAAATTATCTCAGCTCCCGAGGACATCATCCCCTAGTACAGCTTCCACTAAGTCTTCAGGTTCTGGGAAAATGTCTTATACCTCCCCAGGTAGACAAATGAGCCAACAGAACCTTACAAAACAAACAGGTTTTTCCAAGAGTGGCAGTAGTATTCCAAGAAGTGAGTCTGCCTCTAAAAGCCTAAATCAGATGGGTAACAACAATGGTGCCAATAAAAAGGTAGAACTTTCGAGAATGTCTTCAACTAAGTCTAGTGGGAGTGAATCTGATAGATCAGAGAGACCTGTATTAGTACGCCAGTCAACTTTCATCAAAGAAGCTCCAAGCCCAACACTACGGAGAAAACTGGAGGAGTCTGCTTCGTTTGAATCTCTTTCTCCGTCTTCTAGACCAAATTCTCCCACTAGATCTCAGTCACAGACTCCAGTTTTAAGTCCTTCCCTTCCTGATATGTCTCTGTCCACACATTCATCTGTTCAACCTGGGGGATGGCGAAAACTCCCACCTAATCTCAGTCCTACTGTAGAGTACAATGATGGGAGGCCAGCAAAGCGCCACGACATTGCACGCTCCCATTCTGAAAGCCCTTCCAGACTCCCAATCAATAGGTCAGGCACCTGGAAGCGGGAGCACAGCAAACATTCCTCATCCCTCCCTCGAGTAAGCACTTGGAGAAGAACTGGAAGTTCATCCTCAATTCTTTCTGCTTCATCAGAATCCAGTGAAAAAGCAAAAAGTGAGGATGAAAAACATGTGAACTCTATTTCAACAAGCAAAGAAACTAAGGAAAATCAAGTACCCACAAAAGGAACATGGAGGAAAATAAAAGAAGGTGAAATTTCTCCCACAAATAGTACATGTCAAACCACTTCCTCGGGTGCTACAAATGGTGCTGAATCTAGGACTCTAATTTATCAAATGGCACCTGCTGTTTCTAAAACAGAAGATGTTTGGGTGAGAATTGAGGACTGTCCCATTAACAATCCTAGATCGGGAAGATCTCCCACAGGAAATACTCCTCCAGTGATCGACGGTGTTTCAGAAAAAAATCCAAATGTTAAAGATTCAAAAGATAATCAGGGAAAACAAAGTGTGGGTAATGGCAGTGCCCCTGTATGCACCGCAGGTTTGGAAAACCACGTGAACTCCTTCAGTCAGGTAGACAGCCCAGACCCAAAAGGAACAGAGGCAAAACCAGGACAAAATAATGCTGTCCCGGCACCAGAAAATAATGAAAGCTCTCTAGCTGAGCGTACCCCATTCACTTCCAGCAGCTCAAGCAAGCACAGTTCACCCAGTGGGACCGTCGCTGCCAGAGTGACGCCTTTTAACTACAACCCAAGCCCTAGGAAAAGCAGTGCAGACAGCACGTCAACCCGGCCTTCTCAGATCCCAACACCGGTGACCACCACCACAAAGAAACGTGATTCAAAAACGGACAGCACAGAGTCCAGTGGAACTCAAAGTCCTAAGCGCCATTCTGGGTCTTACCTTGTAACATCTGTTTAAAAGAGCTGGAATGATGAAACTAAGAAAATTATATGTTAATTATGACTGCTATGTAGAAATTTTGTTTCAAATGAAACTTTAAAAGACTGGAAAATTTTGTAAATAAGTTTGAATCTTGTTAGAGGGTTTTGTTCTTGAAGCCATATTTGATAGTATACTTTGTCTTCACTGGTCTTACTTTGGGAGGCACACTTGATAGGAAGAGAATGGTAAAGCCAAGTATATTTGTACAGTATGTTTTCCATGTATTTAAGTAGCATCCCATACCACCATCCTTTAATTACTGCCTGTCTTTAAATAACACTACAGATAGAAGATATGATATGTTGCTGTTATCAATCATTCTAGATTATAAACTAACTTCATCAGGGAGAAATTAGTATTTATGCAAAAAAAAAACAACCACCTGTTTTAGTCCTTGTGAGTTCATCTAATGTCATAATTAATCATGTGGCTGTGAAATTCACAGTAATATGGTTCAAACCATGAACAAGTTTACCAAGCCTGCTTTGCTTTACTGCATGAATGAAACTGATGGTTCAATTTTCAGAAGTAGTGATTAACAGTTATGTGGTCACATGATGTGCATATATAGCTACAGTGTAACAACACAATTTTGTGCTAAAAAAGAATCCGTGTAACTGTAAAACATTGAATGAAACTATTTTACCTGGACTAGATTTTATCTGAAAGTAGGTAGAATTTTTGCTATGCTGTAACTTGTTGTATATTCTGGTATTTGAGGTAAGATGGCTGCTCTTTTACTAATGAGACACGAGTCGTGCGGGTCTCAGCAGAACTAAATGAACATTTCAGAATAAATTATTGCTGTATGTAAACTCTTATTGAAATTGGTATTTGTTTTGAAGGGTCTTATTTCACATTTGTATTGATAATTGTCAAAAGGACCTCTTTTAAAAACTTCTGCAAATTTTTTTCTTCAAATTCTATGCATTAAGAGTTAAATTCCTCTTACTGTAATAAAAGCAATTGAAGGAGACTGTTCATTATGCATTGGCACTTAAACATTCCTGAAATTTTTCTGCAATGATTACTTCCTGATGTTTAATATTTTTCCATTTTCATTTTCTTTTACCCTTACTGGAGCTCATTAGAAACAAAATCATACTAACATTAGTGGCAGTGTATACTGCATACATAGCACAGGCTTAGCATCTAACATGAGAGAGCCATATAGTTGCCTTTTTCTTCATAGAATTCTAAGCTTGGGAAGTAGATTATTATTCGGTACAAGTAATCTTGTCCAAGCTATAGTCTTTCCCCCTCATCATCATCTTGCTGGTGGGTCTAGAATAAACAATTTTGATATGTTATTCCAGCAGTCAAGTGTAATTGGCACTTAGTCATGCTTGGAAATGCAAATCATATGAATTTCAGAGGTAGGGATTTAATGCCATCAAGATATTCACGCAAACATTTTAAAATCCCTGCCTGTTAAGGAAACTTGTTTTTGATGGATAGGCCAGAGTTGTAGGGGGTGTGTTCATAACCCCTTCCTTCATAAAGGAAAGGAAATTGATAAACTAATGCACAAAATAATGTACTTAATGTCTTCCCTGAATTTGTTCTTAAGGATCAGTACATGAAAGAAATCATTTTTAATAAAATCCCTGCACTTGGGAAGGGAAAGAAGTCAGGCATGACAGGCATGAGACAGATGAGGGGAGCAAACACCTACCTAGGTCCATGAGTCACAAGTGACTGATCGATACCTAGCTTCATATCTGCATAACTATACGATGAATATTTTAAGCTAATATGCCAGTAAAGTGCTGTGATTTGATAAGCTATTTGACTCCAGAGTGCCCCAGAACACTCCACTGCAACACTTTGTAAACACCCCAATTTACTCCTCTAGAATTTGTCTACCTTTAAATTTTTGTCTAACTGAAAAATAGTTTGTGAATAGTACTAATTTATTCTATTTATACTGTTCTCAGAGGCTGCCTTATATAATATACATGCATATGGTTTGTATTTGTTTCTTTAATCCTGATTTTCTAGTTTTCTGAACTTCAGCATGCCAGTTTTTCTAAATATTTCAATATATTTAAGAGTATAAATCAACGAATAAAATTGCCTTTCGTTCAAGTAAGAGAAAAAAGCAGTGCAGAAGTGAAAGAAAGGAGCTTTTCATGTGTCGGGAAAACTCAGGAATCCACGTAGCACCACGGAGTCCAAGAAAGGCCAATACATTTTCCATTGTCCATTGAGAGAACGTTGGTTCTGAATGAGACCCTAGTTGGAGATGACTCTGAATAAGTCAAGAGACAAATCTCATTTTCTTTTGAAATTAAACAGGGTACAGCCAAATATTGCTAGTTTATGTCTGTTAGGAATGACATTACGAAGCCTGATGGTGGGGATTGGTTGTGATGTGGAGAAGAGTGCCCTGGCTCACTTTAGACGAAAAAAGAAAGCTGAGTGTATTTGAATCATCAAATGTGCTTGCTAAAATATGACCTGGCCCCACTCCCGTAATTTCTGGTTCATCGAGTTTGGGCTGAAGCCCAAGACCTGAGAACAGGTGACGCTCGTGCTGCCGGGCTGGGAGCAGTTTGAGAATATGCCCGCACATCACAACGAAGCTCTCGTTGCTTTCCGCTCTACCTATTCCTTCGACAAACAAACTAATCTGACAGCATACTGTATGTATACCAAGAAATTAAACATTTCTCTCCATTTGGTGGTACCAATTTGATTGTTAATCTGATATAGCAGATATCAAAGTCCAGGTGGGACAAACTTGTTGAACATGATTCTACAGACAGTGACTGTCTGAGGCATCAGCTAACGTTTTTGAAGCAGTTGTAAGGTAGTAACAGATAATTTGAATTTGTAGTAAAATCAGAGGGACTACGGAAGCTTTGAGGTGATGAAAGATTGATATAAAAATATGCTCAGTTTACCATGGGAGGGACTAACAACCAGTTAACTGGCAAATCATTGATTTACAAGTTAGCTAGAATAGTCAGAAATGATAAAATAAAAGGTAAGCTTCATGAGAATCAAATAGCACTATAACTACAGTAAAGAAGCTCATTGTGTAAAAATAAGGATCACATTACTGCAGGGTTAAGTAAAGGGTTGAGTATGTTGCTGAGCACGGAAGCCACTCAGAATATATTTGAACTCCAGTTAGCAGGTTTTGGGGGATGTAAGGTAGCACCAGATAACAAAAATTGCCAGAGCTGAAGAAAGAGTTCAGTAGATCATTAAGACTTGCCAAACTTTTTTAAGTCATGGTGGCCTAAGTAGGCTATAATTTACATTTCAAATGAGCATTCCCCTCATAATACTGACTTTTTAAGATATTTTGTAATGTTAAAACCTATGGACTGTGGCTCCTGCAAACCCCAGTTCATTTTCCTGTCATTGTAACTCTTTCTGTATAAAACTATATTCTGGGTTTTGTTAGGCCATTAATGCTTCTTTCAACCTGTATGTTCTCTGTGTACAATATTCTTGGTGCTAAATACACTTACTTTCCTCTGATTTCAGGATAATTCTTATATTTGTGATATTTTCTTAAAGTTATGTGATTGTTACCTTTATAAATTAAAAATGTTCAACTTAATGCATATTAGTGAAAGTGACCATTGAACTTAAAGCAACATTAGTGAACCATCAGATGTCAAACTTGCCCCAATTACACTGGCTTTTGGAATGCAGACACTTAGCCCCAGTGGTCAGCCATTGACCCGTGTACTCAGTTTTTCTCTAGCAGCAGCTAAATGTGGACCAGACACAGGAGACTCATCATCAGCTGGTCAGTGATCTGGTTAGCTCTAGAAAACTAAGAAGGGTCAATCAGTTCAAATTAAGGGTCAAAAGTCCCTGATAGGTGGTTGAGCACTGGATGGGAAAGACCATATAGAGTTATGGCTGGAGTGTCTGATTTGCCACTTGAAACAAACCTTAAAAGAAAGCCAGTCACAAAAGAAATGGATATGGGAGGCAGACAGCAATTAAGAAATGAAGTGGGGTTACTAGCTCCTGGGATTACCTGTGGCATTTCTGAGACCCAGATCTACTTTTCCTGAGTTTGGTAACCAACATTTGTAAAACAAGTTGCCTACCCAAAAAAGGGTAAACAAGAGCATTGGATTTATTTTCTGCAATGCTAGGTGTCCCTCTCCCAAATAAGTATATGTAGCTTTTTGGAAGTAAAAATGTTAACTAAGAATTCCTTAACCAGCAAACTAGCATTCTATTTATATAAAATACTTGTATCATTCAGATTCTTCTCATAGTTGTAAACAAGACCTCTAAACCACAAGGCAGTTCTTTAAAGATTATTAAGTAGCTCACAAACTTTCCATAGGGGCCAGATGAGCATTCTTGGAAATTACACAGCTGGAAGAAGGAACACCCAGGCCATACTGGAGACTGCTTCAAGTAAAGACTCAGATCCTTGCTGTAAGAAATAGCTCTTGCTGCTTCACCCTGCTCTCCTCTAAATTCAAGTCTTAGTTGAGTACCCATGATTGGCAGATGCAAGGTTACATTCCAGAGGAGTCTGGGAAACATTGTAGACGCTAGATTAATTAAACATGAATTCTTTAAATCTAGGAGGAATTTAAAGGAGCTCTGGTGACATGGTGAGTTATCTATTGAGACTTGTCAGCGATTTGAATCCACCAGTCACTCCACAGAAGAAAGGCCATCTACTGTTAAGATTAACCATCTAGGACACCCACAGGGGCAGTTCTACCCTGTCCTATAAAGTTGCTATGAGTCCCAATTGACTTGATGGCAGTGAGTCTGGTCTTGGAAGAGGAATATAAAGATCATTGATGAGACTGTGAGGTTTTTTGTCCCATTAAGAATTACAGTCTAATGAAAAAATAATTCATAAATTATCAAGGGTGAGGAAGGGAAGAAGGAGGGAGGAGAAAAATGAGCTGATACCAAGGGCTCAAGTAGAAAATGTCTTGAGAATGATAGCAACAAATGTACAAATGTGCTTGACACGATGGATGGATGGATGGTCAGAGTTGTACAAGCCCTCAATAAAATGATTTTTAAAAAATAGAAGTAGTGTCTTGTTGGCCCCCCAGGGGGGTTGTGCTCCCTTCTTCTGGGTTGTTTTCTTCGTCGTCATCTCAATGACTGAATTTGGTTTTGAGTTTTTTAGATTTGACTGCTCATAAACAAAATGTAGAAGGTATGCTAGGACTTCTCTAAGATCGAGCATTAAGAAGGCTGGCATCTTCCACTTGTGAAGCCGCCACCATCCAGGAAAGTTCCATGTCTATGAGTCAGATGTTAGGCTGGAGGCTTCCAAATCCAATGGTGCACTGGTGGTTGATGACCAGCAAGAAGACCACACGCTGGCGTCTGCAGAGGATGAAGACTCCAAGGTTGGCAGTTCATGTGACAGGTCACTGACAAATCCCAGGATTAGCAGGCAATATGTCAAGTCATTGATTCAAGCTCAAAGAACTGGAGGTCAGTGACCCAAATGCAGGATTCAGATCCAGCAAAAAAGCAAGCAACTTTTCCATGGCATCTGTTTATGTAGAAAGCAGGCCACCCCCCTAAGGAAAACTGCATTGAATGCATCAAGGCTGTGATCTCAAGAAGGATATTGTATTGCATCTTGATTTTTTTTTTTTTAAGACAGTGGCCCTCACACTTCAGGTCTGGAGCAATCAGCTTTTTCCCCTCTTTTTCCTTTATAAAAAAGTTTTTCTTTTGTTTTTATTTTTCTTTATAAATCATTTTATTGGGGGCTCGCAGAGCTCTTATAACAATCCATACATCAATTGTATCAAGCACATTTGTCCATATGTTCCCATCATCATTTTCAAAACATTTACTTTCTATTTGAGCCCTTGGTATCAGCTCCTCTTTTTTTCCCCTCCCTCCCACCTTCGTGACCCCTTGATACATTATAAATTATTCCTTTCATATCTTACATCATCTGCTGTTTCCCTTCACCCACGTTTCTGTTGTTCATCCCCTTGGGAGGTGGGGGTTATATGTCAATCGTTGAAATCAGTTGCACCTTTATCTTCTATTATTATTTTTCAGCATTTTTTATCTTACTACTTTCATTGGCATATAATCACATATACCATTTAATACTTAAGCAATATTAAGAAGAGTTGTGTAATCATCCCACAATCAATTAAGAACATTTTCTTGTTAGCTCTCAATTTTCCCCAAACTCTCCTGCAGTCCCTCTTAATAATTGTTAATACAGTTGCTCTCTCCATTAACTTTACCTATCCTGGATATCATATACAAGAAAGGATACAAAACAAGAAGCATAACCCCCCAAACCCAACAATTATAACACAAATTTCGATGGAAAATACTAAAAACCGTGACAACTTTAAAATGAATCAAAAGGAAGATCAAACAATAAGGTGTTACATTTTAACCTAACTGCATGAGCCATAATCAACTTTACACAGCTGCCTGAAAACAAGGCTATTCACATCCTTGCACTGTGGCAGAGGGAATTCACTGGAACCTTAATCCATGCAGGGACATGCAAATGAATTTTGGGCTTCCACTGTCATCTATATTTTTCTGCACACAGGTATTCACAATTTGAACTCTGATGCCATTCCCTACTTTAGGATTTTATTATTTATAATCCTTGGATCACACAGGCTACTGTGGTTCTTCCATGTGGGGACATAGTTAATGCCTCATTTAGATGGCTGCTTATGACAAGCCTTTGTATAAAGAAATGTGGGGGAAGTACATACCTTTAAGTGTTATTATGTGGTACAATGTTATTGTGGTATAATGTTACTTTATAAGTAAAATTAGTAGTATACATTGTACTAAAAGAAAAAAAGACAAGGCTTTAAGACCTCAGATGCTATTCTTATGATAGTTGGGCACCATCTGATTTCTTGAACCCACTTTGCTAAAATATCTTCAGTGATCTCTTTCATGAGGAAAATTATGAGTAGGGCCGTGACCTAAGAATGATTTCTTAGATTAAGCCTATGATTAAATTGGAGTCCCAAACCCACTCATATATCATCTGTGGTCTATGTATGTTTCTGGTTTACTTAAGAGACATAATTTTATGACGGAGAACTTATGAGTCATCCCTAAGATAATTTGATAACATAATTCGACTGACAGTATAATTTAGCCAATAATATAGAATTTAAAACACTGTTGAAAAAGGAAAGTACGCATTTATAGATCAGCTTTTCATACCACAATTGTTGACTTGCACAGATTAAAATCTTAGTTACTGGGCATTAATCACAAACAATGACTGTCCTAAACATCTTACAACTGATTGGCTGTGAATACTTTGGCTCAGGTCAGGTCGGGTCATGGGCATGACTAGATGTTAACTGCCAACGGACTGAGAAACCTGGCCAGACATGTTTGCACAAAATCTTTATTCTTCACAATAATGTGAAAACAGATAAGCAGGTAAAATATGCAACTTAAAAGTTGAATTCATTTCATCCTTAAATATACATTTTTCCTTTGGGGGAAGTGTGCATCAGCAGGTCTTTTTATAGAAATACTTTAGAAAAGGTAGTATTTCATTTGCATCAATACCTAACTTAATGTGTCACCGAGAAGCTACATGAAAACGAAGAGACTGGAAGTAAGAGGAGAGAGAACAGTGAAGTTCTCTCAGTAGTGATGCTCCGTGCATCAGTGAGGCTGGGCGAATTGCCTGACCTCGCTGGCAGATTCTAAGAGAGACTCAGGGCATTTGCTAATCTAATCCTTTTACCTTTTGTAAGAAAATTAACATGTCGTAAGTTTGTTATTTCATTTTCTTATCGTGTCTGGGATATGTGAAAGTCTATTTAGTTGAAAAAAGGAAATAAAAAACCAGTGCTTTCAATCAACTTACAGTTCGGTAAGTCCGAGTTACTGATAACGCATAATTGCCTTTTAATATTATGTGAAGTTATGCCCACTTTGAAACCAACACTTTGTCATCAGGATCACCTTCACTTGTTGCAATGTACGGTTTTTAAATCTCTGAAAAGGCGTGGAACCTTTTCCCCCGCTATTAACATGGCTATGTGCACCTGTTTGGACTTACACCCAGGATCTGCCTGCATCCAAAAGACGGTGAGTTCTACAGTGGGTGTCCTCCGAAGACTAAAATTTTCTTCTGAGGTCGTTTCTAACCTTTATACAGCACATTGAAATACATTCCTTTCCCAAATTGAAATCAAACAGCAGGACCTAGAAAGGCGTGACGCCCACCCACTGCTATCTAGTCCACTGACTCATGGCTCCTTAATACAGGGTTTCCGAGATTGTATATCTTTATGGGAGCTGACAGTCTCGTCGTTCTCATCTTGCAGAGCAGCGGGTGGGTTTGAATCACCCACCTTGCGATATAACAGTCCAATGCTTAACCCAGTGTGTCACCAGGGCTCCTAAAAGGCGCCTCTGAACGACACAGCACTCCCGCGATGAAGACCTCTCGCCTCACGGCAGGAGTAAACACCACCGCTTAACCGCGGTGTGAAAACAGACCAGGGGGAACGTGAAAAATGATTCCGTTGCTAAAAACAGCTCAGTGGCTACAAACCCTCTGTGGGCGGGATCTGAGACCGGAACGACGGGAAGGTTTCCTGTCCTCTCGCGGGATCTCCACGGGCCACGTCAGAAAGCGGGGCTCCAGGCCGTGAGCCATTGGTGCGATGATAGACCGGGCCGTGAAAAGCCACGGACGTGGAGGCGTTGCGGGAGGCAGGACTTCCGCCGGAAGTGCCCGCCGCCTTCCGGCCTGTCTTCTCTGCGAGTTGCAAGCTGGCGGGGTGTGCGGTCGTCCTGCGTGGAAATGGCCAGCGCCGCCGCGCGGTCCCCAGCTGACCAGGACAGGTGGGTCCCGGAGAGAGGGGTCCTACGGAGGCCTTGCTGCGAGCCCGCGGGCGGCGCCCACCCCGGAGCACGGCCGCGCCGGGGCCGCTGGGCACTGGCCGCAGACCCGGCGCCGCTCCCGGGGAGGCGGTTCCAGCCCGAGGAACCTGGGTTCTTTAGCAAGTTTAGTATCAGCGAAGCCAAGAGAGTGTGTCCCAGCTGCAGGAACATGGCAACTGTATCCAGCTAGACATTTATAACCAAAACACCTTTTTGGTTGTGTGTGTGCGCGTGTGGAAAAAAACAAGCTGGGTGCTCCGCTGAGTAAACTTTCCTTCGTGAGTTGGGCGGTGGGAGGCAAAGTGAAGGCTGACTGCCGCGGGCCGTGCTGTGTGACCCGGGGTACCCCCCTCCTGTGCTTTGTCCCGGGCCAGGTTCATTTGCATCTACCCCGCTTATCTGAATAACAAGAAGACCCTCGCGGAGGGGCGCCGCATCCCCGTCAACAAGGTGAGGCCTGACACTCGCGCCCCTGGAGGGATGGGTGGGTCTGGCCTGTTGGAACCCCCAGTTTCTTTTCCTTTTAATACTTTAAAATCGAAAGGGAACAGCAGGTAAGTGGGGGAGCTTTCCTTCATATTGGTAAAACCAGAAAGGCGTTAATTTATAGCAAGTCAATTCTGACTCAGGGCGACCCTATATTTATGACTTATAGCTGTGGAGATTATAATGAAGTTATGACAGTTCCCCCCCCTTTTTTTTGACAGTTTTCCCCCTTATGAAGAAAATTGAAACCCTTGCTTTATACATTGTAATGTCCAGAATGCAGTTGAGTTTGTAAATAGGTTTAAAGGCAAATCAATTTCAGTTTTTTGCCCCAACAGTTTTGTCACTTAATTTACATATCATACAATTGAATGGTTCAATCTTATCAAGGGATTGTACAATCAGCACCCAATCTATCTTATTGGTTGAGTTTTATGTTACTTTTATTTAATGTTTTTTTTAAATAGGCTGTTCGTGCTTGTGAGGCAGGAAAACTTACATTTTTTATTGACCTAGGAGTTAAAATTTACAAAGTGACTAATGCCGAGTAAAAGGTCTATATTGAAGTTTTTTCTTTTCAAAGTGGGTGTTGTATTTTGCATTTTAAAAGATCATAACCCATTTTGCAATTACAGTGCCCGATTAAAGGTAACTAGTCTAAAGTAATGTCACTTATTTTTGTGCCCTTTAATAACTTCTAATTTACTGCCTAAATATGTAAAAATTGGCTTTGCTACCTCAAGGTAAGAGAAAGGGTGCTAAAGTACTTCTTCAAAATAATGCCGGCACCAATCTACTGTGACATGTTTCTGGTAGCAAACCCTCATATAATTTGGAGAATTACTGAAATTATAGGAAAGATTAAAGACGTGCATGGATAGGTTGGTTGGTGGATCTTTTTAAAACAAATAACCTTTATTGTGTGGCCTTTATACAAAAATGTACATAAATACATAGCTTTATTGGTTTTCACAAAGTGAGCACACTTGCATAGCCAGCATCCACATTTTTTGAAAAGCATTATCAATACCCCCAGAAGATTCCTTCATGTCCCGTTAGATACTATTCCTTTATATACTCACCCAAATCAGTGTTCTGACTTCTAACACAATACTTCACCGGATTGTTGAACTTTATATAAAGAGAATTGTACACTATGTACTCTCATGTCTTTGATGTATCCACATTTTTTAGTGTAAGTTAATTTTCATTGCTCAGCAAGGTTTCTCTGAACAGTCCGATGGGCCTTGAGGATGTGAGGGTGTGTGGCAGCATCTCTACAAGAGCCCTGGTGGTGGAATGTTTGCACCTTAGTTTGCTTACCACAAGGTCAATAGTTCCAAGGCACTAGCTGTTCCCCAAGGGAAAGAAAAGGTTTTCTATTTCTGTAAAGAGTTCAACTCAGAACCCCAGAGGGGCAAATCTACCTTTGCTTATAGCTATGAAGTGGCATGGACTTGAGAGTAGTGAATTTGGTTTTTGGTTTATAGTAGAAATCCATGTCAGATTAAGCTGTTTATGGCTTTTGTTTTTAACTTTCAGGCTGTTGAAAATCCAACAGCTTCAGAGATTCAAGATGTATGCTTAGCAGTTGGACTTAATGTATCTCTTGAGGTATGATGTAGTTCTTTATGATTTTTCCACCCTAATCTCGTTGATATAATAGCTGTTGAGCATAGCTTATTTTTGTTTTTGTTTTTTATATTAGAAAAATAAAATGTACTCTAGAGAATGGAATCGTGATGCTCAGTACAGGGGCAGAGTCCGGGTTCAGCTGAAACAGGAAGATGGCAGCCTCTGTTTGGTACAGTTTCCATCACGTAAGCTCTTTTAAATAAATGAATGGTGTTCCGGGATAGGTATTCCTCTATAATACAACATATTAACAAATGGACCTTTTGGAAGATATAAATCGTAATTTACAGTCTACAGATTTCTCTACTACTGAGTGGAGAGAGGTAAACAGGTTTTAACTCTTTCAAGTTAAGTGCTTTTGTGTGTGTGATGAAACCTAATTTGAAGGAAAAAAAACATTTTGTAGACCTCTGGAAGTTTTCATGTGGCCAGCTTAAGAGTACAAAATTTTAAAAAATTAATTAATTAAAAGGAGTATAAAATAAATCATTAAATGACTAAAAGTTAATTACCATTTCAAATACTGGAGACCATTGATATCTATGACTAGTGATTATTTTTATTCTTTATCTAAAAAGCAATATTGAGTGAAAAACAACAAGTTGAAATGCACAGGGTATCACTTATGTTCATGTATAAAATTTACTGTTGTTTGTTGATATATGGATGTATCTATTTTGAAATGCCCTAAACGGATACACCACAAAGTGCACTCCATCAGACCTCCAATGCAGGGACTGTCTGTAGTCCCCTGATGGTGGACAGAGAGTGAAGAGTGTAAAGTGGTGGAAAAAGAAAACTGTGGCTTTTTCTTTAGTGCCTTTTGTTTCTTTCTTTCTGATAAAGTAAGCAACTACGGAAAGCTTTCTTTGTCTACAGCGCTATGGATGCAACAGCAAAACCCAAAATAACCTAACAACTTCCCTAATACTGCTTCAAAGCAAGCACATCAAACTTGATTCCACTAGAATGTAGTTATTCTTTACAATACTAATTTTTTTAAAGACTGTGTGTGTGTGTCTGTGTGTGTGCGCGCGCGCACGCGCGCGCAAACTATTATTGAGCATCTTCTGGCCAAGTTAGTCTCTCTTCATAAAATGGAATTACAATTTGAGGGCATCCATGTTTGCTTCCTTGCCAATACCAAGTTTGCCTCATTTGAATCTTCCCATTTCATGAGAAACATGAATTGCCCATGTAGGAGTTTTGTTTGCTTGTTTCTAAATGATAATAACCAAAATTGGACTTCAGTATTCCAAAAGGCGATTTGGGGTATTGGGGATATCAATCGATGCTTCTTTATATGTTGTTCTTTACTTTTCTAAATTTATTTCCTTTTTTTTCTAAATTTATTTCTTTTTAATTTAAAAGATCTACTTATAATTCTTTCTTGGCATAATAAATCCAAACTGACAATTTGAGTACCCTTATTTTTATATAAATGAAGCCGTATAATACTTAGCCTTTTTGTGTGTGTCTTCTTTTACTTAGCATTGGCATCAGTGTCCATCCGTGTCATAGGTTTCCAAACTTACTTGGCCTACTCTCCATCTTCCAGGGGGAGAAATTACACAGTACTCCCCAGGGAATTAAAAACTTTATATATGATACCCCATAAGGCAGGGTAAGGTGTGGGTCTCTACTTTTACAACATCCTGGGTCATTTCAGGAAACACTGACCTTTGCTGGAGCATATATCAGACCCTCATTCATTTTTATGGTGGAATAATATAGTCCATTGTATGTTTAAACCATATTTTTCATTTGTTGGTGGCACTAGGGATTTTACCTTATGGCCAAGGTAATGCTACTTTGAACATTGACACTTGTTTAAGGCTCTGTTGTTAATTCTTTAGGGTTTATAGCTAAGATTAAAATTGCTGGGCTTTATAGTAAATGTACTTTGTAAAAACCCACCCTAACTTTTGCCCAGTGCCGGCAGCATTTTGAACTCCTACCAGCAGTGTAGAAGGTTTCTCCACAATGTTCAAAGTGGTATCTCCTTGTGGTTTTGATATTTGCATTCCCCTTATGTAAATTGAGTGTCACTGCTTATTAATAACCCTTAATGTTTTAAAATTGTATTGTTTTTATTGTTGAATTGATAGAGCTTGTTATTCTAGAAATAAGTCCTTATCAGATACATGATTTATAAAGATTTCCTTTCATCCGTGGGTTATCTTTTCACTCTCTTGATGGTCCTTGGTGCACAAAAGTTTATAATTTTGGTGATGCCCGTGTTTTTACCTAATTTGCTTCTGCTGTGCTTCTGCCATGTTTAGAAAAGCATTGCTAAATCCCGCAGACCTCCCTCATGTTGTCTTTTAAGAGTTTCATACTTTTAGTATTTAGTTCCTAAATCCATCTTGAGTTTTTTAATGTGATAGAAGGTAAGAGTTAAACTTTCTCATATCTAGTGTGCCCAGCACCATTTATTAAACAAGCTCTTCTTTCCCCCATTGAGTCAATGCTGACTCATAACTGCCCCATTTGGATTTCTGAGACTGGAACTGTCTTTATAGGAGTAAAAAACCTCGTCTTTCTCCAGAGAAGCTACTGGTTTTGAACTGCCAACCATTCGGATTGCAGCCCAACAAGTAACCACTATACCACCAGGGCTCCCTGACCATAATTATGAGGTCTTATTTCTGGGCTCTTAATTGTATTTCACTGGTTTACATGTCAATTTTTATGCTGGTACAACAATGTTTGATTCGTATAGCTTTGTAGGAAGTACAAGGGGGTACCCCAAAAACCAGACACCCTCCACCCCCACAGCTATGTATTTAAATTTTTTTACAGAACAACCTTATCACCATCAGAGTACTCTCGATTACACTTAAAACGTTTGTCAAAGCTGCGATTCCGTTCTTGGAAACATTTTTCAAACTTAACTGTTTGGATGGCTGACAGCCCCTCCCTTGTTTGTTTTTTTTCTTTACCTCTTCTATGTCTTCAAATCACTGTCTTTTTTTTTTAATCATTTTATTAGGGGCTCATACAACTCTTATCACAATCCTTACATACATCAATTGTGTAAAGCGCATTTGTACATTCATTGCCCTCATCATTCTCAAAACATTTTCTCTCCACTTGAGCCCTTGCTATCAGCTCATTTTTCCCCTCCCTCCTCACCCCACCCCCTAAATCACTGTCTTTTCATATGCCTCTTCATTCTCAGAAAAAAAATTCACATGGAGCAATGCCAGAGGCATGCTGTTTTCTCCCAAAAGTTGGCACACTGAGATGGTTGTATGAGCACGAGGTGGAAAAACCAGTCCCCCGACTCCCACAAATCTGGCTTTTTTTGTCACACTGTTATGCAGTCTTTTCAGAACCTCTAAATAGAAAGCTTAACAGTCTGACCTGGTAGAACAAACTCCAAGTGAACTATTATCCCCTCATATTCAAAAAAACAAATGAGCGTCATCTTGATATTTAATTGCACTTGACAAGCTTTGGGGGGGGCGAGGTGATGGTGGCATCTGCCACAGGCGTGATTGGTGTTTACTTTCGGGGTTATAAGAACAGCGCCGTGTCTTGTCACCAGTAATAATCTGGGAAGAGTCCGGGTCCCTTCGGAGCTGTTCTTTCAAAGCATGACATGCTCTTTTTTCCTCCTAAGAACCCAAGGCACAGATTTTGCAACAACCCTTCTCATTCCCAAATCTCCCATTAAAATCCACTGAACTGAGGTCCAAGACAGTCCAGATAACTTCCTATCTTTTCAATGATCCATCGTCGGTCTTCAAGCAGAAGTGCCCAAATTCTGTAGACATTTTCATCTTCATCCATCAGGGATGTTGACACATGTCCAGAACAAGGTTTGTTATCAATCGACATTTCACCATTTTTGAAATGAAAAAAACCACTTGTACACCTGGTATTTTCCCATTGACACTGTCTTTTAAAGCTGTGTTCAACATCACAACAGTTTCTGCAGCATTTTTCCCAAGCAGGAAACAAAATTTCCCAGGCACATGCTGTTCTCTTAAATTGGCCAACCCAAAAAATGAGGTTTGAGCGAAACTGCTTTTAGAAAGGGAAAATTCGTGACCAGAGAGAGCCTTCCCTGGTGACACCACTGGGGGCATCAGTGCGAGTTGCTCAATGCTCACTTAGCTGGAAAAGTGCGTACTATGAAAGTTCCTCCCAGCAGAGCTTTTTTCCTTTTTTGTTTGGTTTGGGGGGGAGATCCCCTCGTATGACTGCTCCAACTTTGTTGTCCTCAATATTGTTTTGGCTAGAGCCCTTTCAGATTTGGAATCATTTCAGATTATTTTCGATGCTATTGTAAATGGAATTATTTACTTTTCAGATTGTTCATTGCTAATGTCTAGTGGTAGTGGTTACACATTGTGGGTTAGGCATTGGGCTGCTAACTTTAAGATAACAGTTCAAACCCACCAGCCACAGCTGGGGAGTAGGATGAGGCTTTCACCTCCTGTACGGATGTGCAGGCTCAGAAACGCTGCCTTAAGGCCCTGTGAATTGGACATGAACTCCGCCGCAGGAGAAGCAGGGTGTTTTGCCATCCCTGCATCATGCCATAGGGTCGCTGTGTCAAATTCAGTGTCTGCCCCACCCATGGCAGACTGGCCCAAAAGGCTGCCACAAACACTGTGACGCATGGGCCCTGTTTTTCTTTTCTGGACCTCAGGGATAAATTTCGTTTCAGACACCAAGCTTCTAGGCCTTGAGAGTGTGGGGTTATGTAGACTGGTGGGCCTTTTGGCTACACCAGGATATGCGTCATGTCATTTGAACTAAGATAATTTTCCTTCATTGTTTCCTATTCAGGTACCTCATTTCGTATTCTTGCCTAATTGCTTTGGCTGGACCTCTCAGTAAAATGTTGAGTAGAAGTAGCATCCTTGTCGTGTTCCTAATCTTGGGGAGAAAGCTATCAGTCTTGCACAAGAGTGTGGTGTTAGCTTTGAATTTTATAGCTGCTCTCGGGCATGAGGCAGAAATGCCCAGCGATCTGTAGTTTGCAGAGTAGTTT